AGTTAAAAATATAACTAATCCACAAGCATGGACATAAAACTCATTGCTTTTTCTAATTCCTAAATTCAAGACATATCCATCTTTTGGCTAGAAATACACGACATGAAAGAAAAGTTCGACTAGGATTTTTTTCCCCTTCATCAAAGAATGAGTTCGTGTTTACATCACACAAGTGGTGGAAAAGGAAGTTTATTTCCTAGAAAGCAAGATCACAGATTTCAGTCTGCCCCAAGCAATATCAGTTACAGATGAACAAGTTAGAGATGATGAAACCAGAATTAATTCAGCAGCAGATGGTGTAGTGTCTTTTTTTTTTCAGCCAAAATGCAAAACATATGGATGGGGTAGAGTAAAATTTCAGTGAAGGACAAGGGAATGTTTGTTTAAGTCGGGGAGCAAAGAGAAACATCAAAACTAGCCAAAGATATGCAACATGAGCTTTCCAAAAACAAGATACCTTTTGTAGCTTTCCACTAACAGACTCTGTCTCCTAAAGAGGTATTTCCCAACACCTCATAAGTACCAACAAAATTGTACTCCTTAATACTGCTGAACATTTTTTTTTTGTCTTTGATGGGCATAAGCGTATACTGATAAGAGCGCCAAACTTCATTAGTGGTTACTTTGACTAATTTTAAAAAAATAAATAATAATTCTTTTTTTTAAAAAAAAAAAAAAAAAAAAAGCCCCATTACTTTCACAGCTTCACATGATTACAGATGGGTAATAACCATTTCCTAATAAAAGAAAAAGTGGGTCAATGTAAGGAGCCAATGGATAGAACTATAATCTATTGCTGTTGTTCATCTAGTTACAGAGTGATTTATGAGAATGCTTAGCACTATATGGGAAGTGTGAAACAAGTTTCTCTACCCTCCAGAGCTTATGATATATAGCACAGCATTCATCTGACATTTGAGGGTCTATTCATGGTAGGAAGCTTAAACACAGCTTTAAGTGTTTGCAGAACAGCAGTGCAAGGAAGAAGATCAATTTCAACACCAATCAAAGTGCTTCAAAGCACACCTATATAAAAAAAAGACAATTTCCTTCTGCTCAGCTGCTTCTTTCATAGTGTATTTAACAGTAGCTGGATCTAGCGGAGAAGAACTTCAGTGTAAAAGGTATTATGAAAAAATGCTGAGAAAGAAGAATGTAACGGATGAAAAGGGAGAGGGAGACATGATAACAACAAACAGCAGATTCTGTATGGGGAGAAAAAAAACACAAACTAGCAAAGGAGAAAAAAAATGCGGAAGAGTTACAATTGCTCACATAGTTCAAGAACTGGGGTATGAAACGAAGAAACCCGGTGTTCCCATAACAAACCTGTGCAGTGGAAGGCTAAGGTTACAAGGGATGAACGTGTCCCATTTGTCTTATTAAAAGCTAACACTGTATCCTGATTTCATGCCACAAGCAGCTTGATTGCAAAAATCTCTGCACCTAAATTGAATTAGCAATCAATACATTCTAGAGTACTTCACCTCCCTTTTGGAATACTAGGAACAGAAGTTGAATGGTTTTAATTCATCAGCTACACTTATTACTGCCAGTGTTACTGGAATAGTTTCCCAGCAGATCAATTACATTTTGCACACATAATTTCCATACTTGGCAAATGTCAACATTTCATCTTTGTGAAGCAGTGTCACAAGGTATTGCAGACATCTGGGATGAGTATGAGAAGGAAACTTTTTAGATCATTCAGGGAACAGCTGGATGGCGGGATCCCATGGCCTCTCCACACATGTGAGAAGGAAGGTGGCAACATTGTCCTATGCTTGAAGGATGAAACACAGACCAGACATCAATCACAGCAGATGAGCAGTAGTAGTAGCGAGGTATTCTTGACAAAGCAGGGAAGAAGGCAAATATACACAAACAACTGAGAGAGATAAAAAATGAAACTTTTACAGCTATTCATCTTTTCACATTGTTCTTCATTCTGTCGTCTTCTGTTTTCATACAGCATCTTAAAATGCAGCATTACTAATCAACACTGAAGCTTATCAGCTATATGTCTAGGGCCTCCACTGACTCAGAGTGAATCAAGGCCATCTTCTTCCTTTGGAGGAGTAGAAGACAGATGTTTACTTCAACATTCTACATTGTTATGTCTTCTCTATAACAGACATCTTTCCATGCTTTATCAGATAGTAGTCCTCCATGCAAGTCTTCTGGTGAGCACTATCCAAACATTATTATCCAAACTCTCCAAGAGTACCCTTGATCAGCATGTATTCGGACATGCAAAGCCCAAAGTCCAACTTTCTTGTCTTCTTGGATCATCACTGCTAGAATATCCTAACCCTACTGCTCCAAATCACATGGAGTGAGGATTGGCATGAACTGTTACCTCTCCTGTTGGGAGTTGTTCCAACTCCTACAACACAGCTCAGATCTGCTTGGTAAAAGTAAGCATAACTCTGACCTAATGGGTATAGGCACTGACCCAGTGACCCCAACCAGTCCCTGGATAGCTCATGCAATGACTCCCTAATACACAATACTGACATAGACCACTAACTACTGCAGATCTCAGCCTTAGGTGAGAACTTCATCTACTCATGCCCCCTCCCTGGAGGTGTTCAAGGCCAGGCTGAACAGGGCTTTGTGCAACCTGGTCTAGTGATGGTGTCCCTGCCCTTGCAGAGGGTTTAGAACTAGATCATCTTTAAGGCCCCTTCCAACCCAAGCCATTCTATGATTCTATAGTAAACATACTGAAAGCCTGCACACTCTGATTTGCCTATGGACATCACTGGAGGGGCAAGACACATGAGAATTAGGAAATACAATCTACATCCTTTTGTGGACTTGGTTCGAGAGACAGTTGCCCATGAACCTTATGCCATTTCATAGCTCTCTTTTGTCAAAAGTTTGCTTTCTAATGTCAAAAAGACATTTACAAAACCAAGACAGTTATTTCAGATTTACAAGAAGGATAGCTTTTCACATTTAAAAGAAAAAAACAACCATCTGATTAAATAACTGTCACGGGGACTCTGATTTTATCTGAAAACAGACACTACAGAGTCACCCAGAGAGCAAAACTCTTTGTTGAAGCTGCACACCATCACCAAAATTGTAAATCCAGAAGTCTTTCATTGGCAGATGACAGCAGAGAAAGAATTTTTGTTTTCTTAATTGGGGAATTTTACATACTGGATTATCTGCCAACCCATTTTCAGCTTCCATGCTCCACTAAACTGGAGGATGTCTCTCATTATTCACAAACTCATTATTACACTGAAGAAAATGGGGAGCAATTAGCATACGAGTTAAAGATCATTTAAAGGTGGTGCTAATTGTAAAGAACAAAGTATTTTTGAATCCTGTTGTATACAATTAACTGAGATAAACAGGTTCTGGGGAAAAATACCTGCTAAACAATTTCAGTGATGTCTCTTCTATAACCTACATTTTAAGTTCAAGTGAATCCAGCTCTGCAGTAAGTTCAGTACAATAGGCCTCTGCAGCATCTTACTTCAGTTACTACCACAGGGCTTGCATATGAAAGGGTGGCCATGTTGCAGAGCAAGTTTTGTTCAAGAAACACATACAAAAACAACTACTAATTTATCACAACAGTGGAGATAATCAAGTTCCCAAAAAGAAGGGAAGAACAAAACCAACAAGGAAACAGAATGCAACACTCATCATGCACGGTGCAGCCTGGCACTGATACACCATGAGTTGCAAGACCAGTTGAATTATAGGACTGTGCAAAGTACCCAACCAGAAATAATAAAAACCCATCTACAAAGAGCTACTAATGAAGAAAAAAAAAAATAAATTGTGCATGCTTTTGTTCATGATTGCTAAGCAGAGAGGAAGAAATCTTGTACATGAATAGTTAATGTGCCAAACGGAAGAAAGCAGACAGAAGATGCAATTCTTCATTACTAGTGAACTACACTCAGACATAAGACATTAGTCAGACAATTGTACTAAAATATGCCTTGTGACATTAGGAATTTGATTTCAAGGTCTACAGCTGGGTGTTTTTAATTCACATTGACAAATTCTTAGCCATATACTATTTCTAATCTATTTACCACACACCTACAACTATAAACATATGTGCACCAGTAGATTTTCTGTAATTCCTAGCTGCAACAAACCTCTGTTTTTGCAAATTAACTTCTACATCACTATTTTTCTTGGCTCAGAACATATTTTCTTCAAATGACAGAGCAGTCTGTAAACCTGTAACACGCCCTATTTTTAGGATCACACCTATCTCATATTTTCCTTTTTAAAAGTACAGCCAGTTATGCTTTGGAATAATACCTCCCTGTACTTTATGTGAAAAATGCTTCAGCAGAGGAAAACACTCACAAAAGCATCTCTCCCCATAGAAAATGCTACTGCATTCGGCAAGCAGACTCTAATGAACAACTGCGGCACACGCCCCATGCTATCACGCAGGGGCGGTGTTTATGTTTACTGAGAAGGAATTGAACCGTTCCCCCTACACGCACGCACCAACATCGCTTATTCCTACGCCCTCCGCAGAAAAAAAGGATCCACCCGCTTTGTCTTCCCGTACAAATCTTGAATTCTCTAGAGAAGCCGAGATGTCTGTAGTGGTTCCAAGGATCCACTGTTAGAAACAGACCTTCCCCTAAAGTCTGAATTCTTGTGCCATAATACTCCAGTGTGTCAGTATATAATATAAAGGAACTTCTTCGAAGGAAAGAAATAAATCATCATTCAGTGTCACAATTAAAATCCAAGTACTGCTATACATATGTAGACGTACATACACACATAGATATATAAATATTTCTCCTCACGTTTGAATAATGTAAAGATGGCTTGAAAATTAAAGCATCCGTGGGCTAATCTGGAAGCTCTTCAAACAATAAAATAATATCTTCACATAGAAAACCGAGAAGAGCCAAGAGTTCACTGATGAACAACAGATTTTTATCTCTGATAAAAGAGTAATTTGAATTAGCTGATGCTTCAAAATTATTCCAGTTCCACTCCCATTACAACTTATGCATACACCTATTCTCATCTCCTGTGAGCAGCCCATCTCTCCCGGTAAGTGAGGTCAGACAGCCTCGCGGGATAAAAGCCTTTATCCTTCTAAAAATATCAGCCGGCCAAGATCCACTCTCGCAAAGCTCCGCGATGCGAACAGCATCGCTACAGTCCGGGGGCCGCTTCACTGCCATGAGTAAGCACTTGCAGCCCAGGGCTGTAATTAGTTGGGAGCGTTTTTAGGGTCACTGGTGAAAATCAGAGAGAAATGACTGAGAAAGACCTTAGAACGAGAGGGGTTTTTCTCTCATTTGGCTATCTTAGCTGCTGCAAGGAAAAAAAGGCGCCCAGCAGCAGCCGAGGCGACGCGCTCTTCCTGCAGGGCAACATGTCCCTCGCTGCTGTCCCCGCACGGCGATGCCGCTTGCAGCCCGCACCGCCCGCTCCCCGCACCGCCC